CTCTTTTAAAATTTATTTTTTATTTATAAAATTTAAATTTAAAATTTTATTTTAAAAATTAAATTCTTTTATTCAAACAAACAAAAAAAAATTAAATGTTAAAAGTTGACATTAAATTTTCTGATATTTTAAATACAATAACATTTGGATTTTTCCATTGCCTTTTATCTTTTGCTTTGGTATTTTAATAAGAAATCAGAAATCATCACGCATTTTCTTTGGTAAGATATTTTAAATACAATAACATTTGGATTTTTCCATTGCCTTTTATCTTTTGCTTTGGTATATTAATAAGAAATCAGAAATCACCACGCATTTTCTTTGATACCAATCCAAACGTTCTCTCTCAGAAAAAATTCGTCCATCTCCTACTAGCTATCCCCCATCCGGAGCTTCTCTCTTTCGCATCCTCTTCTTGGGTTACTCTTCCATCTATGTAGTTAATTTTTCCAGCAAATTAATGTCTCTCCACCTACATGTTTTCAGCTTTGAGCATTAAGAAGTCAGTAAAAAGCGAAGGTACGCTTCTTAATCCCCAGCTATAGTTATTTTCCATGCCCTGTAGCTATAGTATTTTTACTCATATTTCATTTTACAAATGTTTTCTTTGGCCTTTTTTCAAACTTCTGATGTCTTTTTTTAATTTTCCAGATCGTTATTTGGCATCCTCTTCTTGGGGCTACTCTTCCATCTCTGTAGTTAATTTTTCCAGCAAATTAATGTCTCTCCACCTGCATGTTTTCAGCTTTGAGCATTAAGAATTCAGCTAAAAGCGAAGGTACGCTTCTTAATCTCCAGCTATAGTTATTTTCCAAGCCCTGTAGCTATAGTATTTTTACTCATATTTCATTTTACAAATGTTTTCTTTGGCTTTTTTTTTGAACTTCTGATTTTTTTTTTTTTCAGATCGTTATTTGGCTTCCTCTTCTTGGGATACTCTTCCATATCTGTCGTTAATTTTTCCAGCAAATTAATGTCTCTCCACCTGCATGTTTTCAGCTTTTAGCATTAAGAAGTCAGCTAAAAGCGGAGGTACACTTCTTAATCCCCAGCTATACTTATTTTCCAAGCCCTGTAGCTATAGTATTTTTACTCATATTTCATTTTACATGTTTTCTTTGGCTTTTTTTTTTTTTTAAATATTTTTCAGATCATTATTTGGCTTCCTCTTCTTGGGATACTCTTCCATCTCTGTACTTAACTTTTCCAGCAAATTAATGTCTCTACAGCTGCATGTTTTCAGCTTTGAGCATTAAGAAGTCAGCTAAAAGCGAAGGTACGCTTCTTAATCTCCAGCAATAATTATTTTCCAAGCCCTGTAGCTATAGTATTTTTACTCATATTTCATTTTACAAATGTTTTCTTTGGCTTTTTTTTTTTTTTTAAATTTTCAGATCGTTATTTGGCATCCTCTTCTTGTGTTGCGTACTCTCAAAATCTTTGTAGTTAATTTCCAGCAAATTTCTCCACCCTTGCGCTTTCAGTTTTGAGCTTTGACAAGGTATGATGGTCTTAATCCCTAGCTATAGATATAGCTGCCCACATTATTTTTACTCAAAATTCATTTTACCATAATTAAGTATAACTTCAAATCGTTACTTCTTTGTGTGTGTGTGTTTTCTTCATTTTTACGTTGAATAATCCCTATACATATACTACTATATTGAACATAACAGAGATCATATTATGAATTAATTAGTATTATTTAAATATATTTTTATTTAAAAACATTTTAATTATTGATTGTCTTTTAATTCATTAAAATATCTATTTATTCTTAATTAAATTATGTCTTTAACTAATATAATGATAATTATAATGATGAATATCTTATAAAATTTAAGAATATCCCATTCGAAAAACTTGGACATGTAACAAAAACGAAAATTTTCAAAGCTAAAAATGTTCTGTGTCGACACTACAACGTGGGTAGCGGCACTCTTGTTTATGTCATCCTGGACCCATTTATATTTTCCAAGAGCTTAAGGCATAGTGTCCACACGTAACAGATAACTTCGACACCAAACCCGTGTCGGGTTTTTGGATCTCCCGGCAATTTCTTTAATGATAAAATATAATGAACAATTTAGTCCTATGACTTCATATTCATTCACGTAGATCCCTGAAAGCGACTCTTTTTTCTCCCAATGCAGTCCCTCAACTTTTAAAGAATATTCAATCAAGTCCAAAATCTTTGTTTATTATGCATTCAAATCCCTTTTTTCCAAATATATATATACATTTATAAATTCTATTAAAAACCACATCCTATTCATTTATCTAAAAAAAATCAAAACTAAAATAAGAAATTAAAATATATTATAAGCTTAAATCCAACAAAAAAATAAGAAAAGCTTAGAGTTGGGCCCAACTTACTAAAGCCCACATTACAAAATATTAGCAGGCAGTGCCCAAGAGCGAGGAAACTAATACTAAGATAGAAAAAAAAATCCAATTCAATTTAAAGTTTTCTAAAATCAAACCGTGGGGAATCGAAATAGAAACTGGAGACTAAACTCCATTGGTTTTTGATGCTGAGTAATTGAACATTAAATTATCAAATATGTGCGGGGAGAAGCTGAGATCTCAAATTAGACATTTACTTTAAAATTATGTAGCAAATTTCACTCTAATTTTACTAATTTTAAGGAATGGTAGACTTCTGTTAAGTCCTACTTGCCACTGTTATTAATAGTCATCATTACTTGATAATTCTGTTGTAGGAAAAGTGTCCCAAAGATATTATAATGGAAGGACTTAGGATGCTTAGGTAACAGAATTAAATAACCATAAATCAAATGATAAAATGTTATGAACTCAAGCTCTAAAATTTTTTACTCAAGTTCAGTTTGATTTTGATTAGTTAGTTTACAAATTCTCATAATGTTAAAACTTTAATTTCTTTTAATTTGAATTGATATTGTGCTATATCTTAAGTTTATTTATTTTAAGAGAACAATAAAAATTAAAATATCAAGAAATCTAAATAAAATGATTTAAATATATTTAATAAATTTTTTATATATTAATTTATTAAAAGATTTAAAATTTTTTTTATCAACATCTTTAATATTTTAATTCGACAATCCTTTCTCTTAATCACCCAAAACCACTAATTGGGCATCCCAAATTGTAACGGGGGATGAAAGGAGAAGGCAGGAGCAACATAATGTTATGCACATTGCGGCCGAATAGTACCCCCCTTGTTAGTGGGTTTTATAGGGGGCCTGAGCCCAAGCATCAGCCCACAGGGGAATGGTTTGGGGCTTTGTGGTAAATGGGGCCCAACACAAGTTTTTACCTGGCTTGGTCCGGTGAATTTCGACTCATGTTCTGGAGTGGATCAGGATGAGTCTGCATCGGATGGCTATTATTCGGCATGGTAGTTGTGAGCGGTCCCGATGTTTTGCCCTCAGAAAAAGAGTTTTAACTTTAATAGTTGGGATTACTATCAGGGAAAATAAATATATATTAAAAAAAAAAAAAAACCAAAGAAGGCTCAGGGAACCCGGACCTCCAAATGAATGCAAATGGGATCCTTCAAGTAAAACGAAGAAAATTTTATAGGTACCAAGAAATTAAAAATTTTATGACCAAGAAAAATAAAAATCATGAAATTAGATGGCTAAAACCAGGAGGTAAGAGATTGCATAGCTTCTCTTTTTTGCTTTCTCAGGGTCAATAATTGCTGGCCATGGGGCCTTCAATAATTGTCTCTCATTTTCCTTGCATATTTCCAAATAAAGGGGAGATGGTTCCTACTTGCTCAGTGGGAATACAAGAAAATAGTAGATAAAGATAAAAAAAGACATAAAATGGGAAAGAAGCAAGCAGTTTCTCTCTCTTCCACGAAAAAAAAAAATAGAGGCGAGATGTGCATCCCTCTATTGATATGATTGATATTTAAATAAAATAAAATTTAAAATTTATTATTAAAAGATAAAATAAATAGAAAAAATGATGAATATTCCCCCGTTTATAAAAATACACCAAATTTCTCTATTACCATTGGAATTTGGATAGCGTAGAAGACATTTCCTCCAATGTACCAATAAAAAAAGTGCATAGAAGACTTTTCAGGGTTTCCGCATGGCTCTGTTGTGTGTGAAATTCCCCATTGCAACTTAGTATCAGGCTTAATCTCCTATTTCGTTTTCTAATTTATAAATTTTAAAATTATTAGTTCTATATTAAAATTTAAGGATATTAGTCTATTAATAATAAAGCAATAATAGCACCTGGCCCTTTAGGCCTAGTGGCAATAGTCACCCCGGTGCATTCCCCCCTCCTCAGGCTGGGTTCGAAACCCGCCCCTTGCAAATATGTTCAAAAATAATAATAATAATAATAATAATAAAGCAATAATAAGAAGAATGAAAATTTAGGACAAAAATTTGGTATCAATGATATAATTTATGT